ATGGTTCCACTTAAAAACTTATGCCTGTTAGTTACTGGTCCAAAATAATTTCCAACCCAATTTGTCTGGCTTCTTTGACTTTCAAGACAAATTCCAGACTTCTTGGCAAAAATTACTTGGTGCCACCACCCTAATCCATTGTGGATTTTTCTCCAATGTATTGATTCCAGTGGGATTTGATCAGGCCAAAGCATCTTTCAAACAATGTGCCAGGTACATGGCTCTGTAAAACGATTTTAGTCAGGCCCCATCATAAGATTAATTCAGTGAACCCACAAAAAAAGTGTTGCTCCTGCATTTCACCTCTACAACATTGTCCCTCAAAATATCACAAGAGTTTTTACTCACTGTGATGTCCTCCTCTCTTGAAGGAAAGTTCTATATTATCTTTAATGTATCAAAAGTGCTGTGGCTTCATTTGTGTGGTGAGTGGGAAATTAAAACTGTGGGACATGTATTGCCTTTTTTATAGACATCGATGAGAAATGTATATTTCCCCATTTATAACACAATACCTGGGCAGGCCTGTGGTCGATTACCTCAGTCTCTCACTAGCTGACCAGGTAGCAAGAATTTCAGACAATACAGTCCAGTTTTGTGTCAGAGCTACGATTAAACATAAACATCTGCTCCAGGTGAGGTGATTGATGCTAAGCCTTAACTAGACTTCCATAACTCAATATTTTTGTCTTTCCTTCTTTCCCCCCTCACCTTTCCCCTTCTTTTCCTTTTAAATATAAGCATATCACTTTATGTTTTATTTTGCCATTTCTTTGTTATTGTTGCTTGGAGCATAATAGCGTTAATCCCAACTAATCCTAGCAGAGCTTCGGCAGGTATCAAACTTAATATAAATTAGCATAGCTCTACATTCTCGTAATATTATATGGTATCTTTTATGGCCCTTTATAATTATCTGTCCTAGTTATTTATAGAATTAGATTATTCATTGTAAAATTGTAAATTCTTTTGAGTTTTAATACCTCTGCTCAGTAATTTTACCAAAATAATTTTATCTTTGCCTTATTTTATTCTATCAAGATGACTTTATTTAGTGTAATTGTTATGTTATTGGTTCTGTGCTGGTGTATGAAGTAAAATCGATTGATTTGAAGTTCCTTCCATCAGCATTTTTTTAGAACATCCACCTACATGTTTTCAACATTTCACTTCTGTCCATCAACTCAAAATGCAATCTTTAGCCTATATTATAACTTGAGGTGCACATTCTTACCATACATCAAAGGTGGATAACGATGGCCCTTTTGTGACTTGTGGACTTCAATTCTAAAAATTCCTGAGGCAACAATGCTGGCTCAGCATTTCTGGGAGTTGAAGTCCACAAGTCATAAAGAAGTCATCATTCTCCACTTCTGCCTTTCATGAAGAAAGCATACATCTTGACTGAAATTAGCTCCTTCTTTCAAAATGTAATCACTTTTTAAAGTCTGGAACAGACTGAAATGCAGGGTATAAAATAATTCAGTAAAAATCTGAAGAGCCTTTCATATTGTCCAATACTTTCAGAAAGTGGCTATGCCTCTATCTTTTCCTCCAATTTCCTCCAACAGGGGAGGGAGGATCCACCCACATTCAGCTATAAAGGTGTGTATTTACAGAGCTCCCTCATTACAATGAAGACTTTTATTCTTGTCCAAAAATGAGTCTGGATTTGTGTTTAGCAGCACAAGGGTGGGGTGGAAGAAGGAGCGGTCCTCCATCTTCTGCTTCCTCTTCCATTCTGCTTGCGAAGACAGCGTGAAGAAGAAAGCACGGTGAATGGCACAGATTTTCAGCTCCAACTTAGCAAGCTGCAGTGACGAGGCAACAGCGTTGATAGCAGCAGCTACAGTTCTTCAACCTCAACAAAATGGGCTATGAAAGTCAATACCACCACCCCCAATAGACAGGTCTGTTTTGGTCAGAAACATATGAAATTCAGTACTGGTGAGAAAAGTTCCTATCGGAAAAAGTAAAGAGTAGGAGACAGGAGGGCAAGTGAAAGCAGAAGAAAGAGGAAGGCAATGAAGCTGTCAGAAGTAGGATGGAGTGCAGAGCAGGCAGAAAAGGTATGTGTTTGAAGCAGAATGGGGAAGAGGCTAGAAAGGAAAAAAATCTTCTGAAGCTCTCAGTTTCTACGTAGGGCTCCTTCAAAATAGAATCAGTTTAGAAGAGGTAATAAAGAACGAAAGATTTTGTGTGTTTTCATCATAATCTCTCTTCCTCCTCCTCCTCCTCCTCCTCCTCCTCCTCCTCCTCCTCCTCCTCCTCCTCCTCCTCCTCCTCCTCCTCCTA